AACTCCGCTCACCTCAGGGTCCCAGGGAGAACCCCCAACTCCGCTCATCTCAGGGTCCCAAGGGAGACCCCCCGGAACTCCGCTCTCCTCAGGGTCCCAGGGAGAACCCCCAACTATGCTCCCCTCAGGGTCCCAGGGAGACCCCCGGGAACTCCGCTCTCCTCAGGGTCCCAGGGAGACCCCTCGAACTCCACTCCTCTCAGTGTCCCAGGGAGATCCCCAAATTCTCCTTTCAAGGGTCCCAGGGAGACAGTCCCCAAATCTGCTCCTCTCAGGGGTCCCACGGTGCCGCTCCCTTTGGAGCTCGGCTTCCCTTGGGAGTCTGGGGGTGGGGGCCCCGTTCTCTTCTTGAGCCTCCTTCCCTCTGGGTGTCCCGGGGGCCACCCCACCCCCACACTGCCAGTGATTTCCCAAAACGGGGGCCTCTCGGGGCCACAGCCCCTTCCACATTCTGTCCCTCATTCTTTTGTGGTTCCTTGCTTTCGACAGAAAGGAGGCATCCGTTTCCAACCTTCCTTCCTCTTCCAATGGAACCCTGCTTTTCCTCCAGTGTCCCTTCAGGCTACTTCTGCCAGGTTTCTACTTTTCATCCTTTATTATCACTTTGCCCAAAATATTCTTGACTTCTATTGAGAAGGATTTGGGGGTCCGTTTCTTAATTGGAAGTGAGTTCTAAATTTCCAAGCAGATGGAGGTTTTCCAGTTATCCTTCTAGGGGTGACTTACTGCTTAATGCCACCGTCGTCAGAAAGTGCACCCTGAGGGTCTGAAACTGCTTTCGGCTCTGAAGTCTGTCCTGGTCGACCCTTGTAATGCTTTTCGCCTGGAAGTCTTCACACGCCGATGCTGACATAACGGTTTCTGCCTTTCAGTTCTATAGCCTCCTTTGCTTTGGGATATTGCCATATATTTTATTTCAAAATATGTTATAAACTCAATATTTCTTGTAGTGGATCTGCTGGTAAAATATTCCAACTTTTTGTCCGAAGCCATCTTAATTATGTCTTCATTTCTGAATATATTTTCACATCAGTGGAATAGAATGCTTGGAATAACTTCCTTCTTTCCTTGCTGTTGAAGCTATATTATTCTTTTGTTTTTCTGTTTTTCATGCTTTGTGTTGGAAGATCTGCCATCGTGTGGGTTGTTGCTGTTTAAGATACTGTCTTTCCTCCTCCTATGGCTGCTTCTAAGAGTTTTACTTTTTTCAGGTTTACAGTGGTTCAAGTGTGGCGTGTCTAAGATTGGTTTTCCTTGCACTTATTCTGCTTTGGGCCTGCAGAACTTTTCAGGTTTTTGGGGTGATCCCTTTCATTCATATTGGAAAATTTATCTGCCAATATTTCATAAAATATTTCCTCTATTTCTTTGTCTACTCGTGGCACTCCAGTTATGTGTATGCTCTGTAGGTGACTCATCTGGGTGTCTCTTTGCCCTGATTCTGTTCATTTCTTCTTTTCCTTTTTCTGGGTATCAGTTCGGATACTTTTTATAGACCTGTTTTTACATTTTCTAATTTCCTCTTTTGCTGAGTCCAATTGGGTATTCATGTCATCCAAGTGATTTTAAAATTTCTAATAGTTTGTTTTTCTTTTCTAGGATGTCCATTTGATTCTTTTGATAGGTTTTATTTATCTGTTGATAGTTTTTATATTTTTTAAATCAATTTTATCTTTTTGTTTCATAGTCTCATTATAGTTATTTTAAAGCATCTGTATGCTAATACCAGCATTTTAGTGAACTGTGGTTTTACTTCTGTTTCTGTTGTATTGATTAGCAGTCTGTGATATTATGAGAGATATATTTGGTTGTTATCTGCAGTTCCTGGCACAGAGCTCCTAAAACTTTTGTGATTTCCTGAGTAATGGGGTGATAGGAGCATTTTTTTTTTTCAAAATGTTTGCTCTTAGTGCATTTGGCCCTCTGTTTCTGCAGCTTCCACATCCAAGGATTCAACCAACCACAGATCAAAAATATTTAGGGAAAAAATAAATAACAATACAATAATTAAAAATACAAATAAAAGACCAGTACAGTATCACAACTATTTACATGGCATGTACGTTGTATCAGACATTATCATCTAGAGATGGTTAAAGTATACAGGAAGATATGCACAGATTATATGTAAATACTAAGCCATTTTATATGAGGAACTTAAGCATCCAAGGATTCTGGTATCCAAGAAGCAGGGGTGACCTGGAACTAGTTTCCCTCAGATTTTGAGGAGAATTCTGTCTGATTCCTCACAGGAGCCACTAACACTCTGGGGATCTCTGGAATGATTAAGATGTCTTTTTGTATGCTAATGAGGCAACTGACTGGGGCCCCTAAGACAGCTTCAGGATGGAAGGTGTTTGTCAGAAAGACCTGACAGCTAGTGAAGCTGACCGGCCTGGTGAGTCAGGAGCCCCTTCCAAGTGTGGTCTTGGTCAGTCTTGGTCTCCTGCATCCTAGAGGTACCAGCCCATTTTTCTTCCCAAACTTGATGACCTAGGGCTGGAGGCACATAAAATCTCAGCCTTCCCCACTGGAGCTGGGCTTAGTACACAGGGTGGGGCAAAGTGGGTACCGGATCCTGATCGTCTCTGTCCCTGGGTTGTGGCTTCTTGCTACACAGTCAGCTTCTGATTCTGTGGCCCCAGCTGCTCTTGCGGTGGGGGGGAGCTACAAATCAGGCTCTGACCCCCTCCAGGTGAGGCCTCAGCATGAGAGGAGTCAGCAGGCAGGCCACTGGTGTGCAGTCAGCAGCTGTGCCCAGGGACGTGCCCCACTGAGCACTGAGGGCTGACTTGTTCCCAACAAGGGAGACAGAGCTTCTCCGTTGAGTAGGGCTGCTGAAGGGGGAGTAGGGATGGAGATAGTGCATTTGCAGGAGTAAGGGTGCAGTTGGGTCCCTGCCTGAAAATGCCTCAGTTGTGGCAACTGGTTGGTGACCTGAGGGGCATATCTGATCCCACAGTGCTGGCATCAGGACTTAGTTGTGAGGTGCCCCAGACCCTCCCCTTGTCAGTAATTAGCTGCTGGCTCAGTGATGCCCAGGGTGAGGGAAAACTTGATTTCGGGAGGGTAGTTCTCTTGTAATGACACCGGGATGCCTTCAAGTTTGGCTTCTGGTATGTTCTGTCCTTCTCCCATTCTTGTAGTCATCTTAGCCCTCATGTTGTTGAGTTGCATGTGAGAGTAGGAGGCTCATCAATGGGCAGTGTTTGAGAACATTTCACAAGTTGCTTTTGAGTTTCAGAATCAACCAGTAGATGCAGAAAAATATTTTGGAGCATGGGGACCCTTGGGCGAGCTGCCACGTGAAGCAGCCCCAGGACCCCCCTGACTCAAGGAGTGATGGTGAGTTTGTGTGAGGTGACAGCACAGGCCTGGTATAGCCTTGTGTGTGAGTGAGACCTGCCCAACCCCAGTGCCGTACCTGAGGAGCTGTTGGCCCAGTGGGGGAGGCATTCAGGTGGGCAGAGTCGGGGACACTCATGAGGCCATTGAAGCCAGCAGCATAGAGCTGGCCAAGGAGCCATGGCTCACTAACGTGTTGTCTGGGTCTCCTCACCTTTAGATCCTGGCTCCTGCATGAAGTGATGCTCCCCTTTGCCTTGCTCGTAGCCGTGGGGATCCCACTGGTGGCAGCCAATGTCAGCGTGAGTCCTCATTGTAAGTATCATTCCCTCTCACTGTCCAGGAGAGGACAGTTCACCTGGAGCTTCTGGGGATCACTGGAATGATTGGCTGGAACATGGAGCATGTCTCAGCCAGCTGGGGCCTGCATTGTCTGTGTAATCAGGGGTGGGCACTAGGGCAGTCCAGGAGAAGTCGTGAGCAAGGAGAGGGTTAGGATGGAAGAGCAGCTGACCAGGGACCAAGAGGAAACCTTGATGTGGCTCTTCAACATCGGGGCAAGGCAGGAGAGGCTATGTCCAGGGAAACCCAGGAGGACCCTGGCCCCTGTGAGTGTCCAGTCTTCCTTGGTGAGGTGGGCCTGGTCTGCAGAGCATAGCAATCCCATATGTGGCCGCCAGGGGCACTAACTGGAGCCTGTGTTGGAGAGCAGGGAAAGCTCTCCTGGTGCCTGGCTTCCCTCCCAGGAGCTAGTCTGGGCCAGACTCAGACTGCATAGAGGGCTGAGATGTGCAGGCTAGGAGAAGTCCTTGGAAGCAGAGGGGAAGGACTGGCCATTCAGGGAGGGTAGAGTGAGCTGGTAATGGGTGGAAAGGCATGGGGAAGCAGAAGCCTGATGTCTCTCTCTCTCCTCTCAGGGACCTATAGTTTGAAATGCCATGACTGTGCGGCCATAAACGACTTCAATTGTCCCAACATTAGAGTATGTCCGTATGATATTAGGCGCTGTATGACAATCTCCATTCGTAAGTACCTCTTTGTCATTTTGACAAATTGTGGATTAGTTTCCTACCTGGGTGGTTTCTGTGGGCAGAGCCAGTCTGCTTTCTTCTCTGCACGCAGCTCTGTTTCCCCTTCCCTCATGTCGCCCACCCTGAGTGCGTCTCTGCAGGCCTTGGACTCAGCCTCACGATAGGCTAGCATGCATCATCTTGTAGCGGCAGGTACTCTGCAAAGTAGGATATTCCGTCCATGCATCTGCACTGTCTCCAGGGAGTAGGAGCATTGCTGGATCTCAGAGCCTCCACTGCCCCTGGTTGTGTGTGTAGACATCCCATGCTGCCTAGGCAAGCCCTCAATGCTCATTCGATTTCCATTAGTCTATAGAGTGCTTCCAGCTCAGTAGGCCCAAGCAGTGGATGCACCATGGACCCCTCAGGGCAAAGCCCACCACACACAAATGGGAAAGCCAAGCATAAGTTCAGGGCAGAGCCTGTACTTCCAGGATACTCTTCCTTCTTCCTCAGAGCCCTCTGGTACTCAGAGAAAGGTGGCCCCTCTCCTTAGGGCCCTCACCTGCAGAAGATGTATGGCCAGAGGCCCAGTGACCAATGAAGCAAGCAGGAAGGGTGCAGCCAGTGTACATCCTAGTGCACACATGGAGGGCTTGTCTGTGGCCCTGCTCAGGACCTTTCCTTCAGCCCTTTTGTCCCCAGTGTCCGTGGTTGTGTTTGCAACTTCACATGTCATTCTGTGTTCTAAGCTTTGTGCAAAAATAATTCCCTGATTACCACCTCGATATGGTTTGGCTATGTCCCCACCCAGATCTCATCTTGAATTGTAGCTGCCATAATCCCCATGTGTCATGGGAAAAACTGGTGGGAGATACAGCTAGTGCTCGACTTACGACCACGATTGGTTCCGACAGATCGGTCGTAACACGATTTGGTCGTAAGTTGAGTAGGCTATATGCACGCGGAGAGGTAGTGCTGCCGGAAGCTGGTCCGCACTGTCGTATGCCCAGCTGGGCAACGTTTGCTCTGCCAGACGCGGAGCAGTCATGGCTAGCGATTGTGGTCTTAAAGTCGAATGGTCGTAAGTTGCATAGGTCGTAAGTCGATCAATACCTGTAATTGAATCATGGAGGTGGTTACCCTCATGTTGTTCTCATGTTAGTAAGTGAGTTCTCACAAGATCTGATGATTTTATAAGGGGCTTTTCCTTGGCAATTCTCCTTCCTGCCATCTTGTGAAGGATGTGTTTGCTACCCCTCCTGCCGTGATTGTAAGTCTCCTGAGGCTTCCCTAGCCATGTGGAACTGTGAGTCAATTATAAATTGCCCAGTCTCAGGCAGTTCTTTATAGTAGTGTGAGAATAGACTAATATACACCTCTTCTTCAGACCAATTGCTGATTTGGGACATGGGCAGGAGGCTGAGAATCTGGGCTTTGTCTCCACAGTAGCCACTGCTGGGGACCTTGATGGCATGGTTTTGTCGTTTTGGGATTACTACCTCTAAATGAGACTGAGAACTATCTTTTCCACAGCTCCTTCATGGGGCAATACTTGTCAAAAAGAGGAACTTGAGTGAGATTTGCAAGGTATGGGTGAAGCAGAGATCACTCTTCTGGAAGATCATGATGGTTTTATACAGTGATGGACACTGGTGGACTTCAGTCTGTCCTCACTTGTGTCCTCCTCCATGCCCATCCCATCTTCACTTCTGAGCCTTTGACTGAAAGCAATTCCTAAGACTCCGGCAGCTATTTGGCCACTGGCCTGCCTAGGTGATGGGTGCTTCAGTGGAGCAGTTTAAACATCTCTGCAAGAGACCCCTCTGCACAACCTTACTTGAGAAGACAAAGGTGCATGGCCTTTGATATTGCCCTGTTCCAGCTGTCCCAATGTCAGTGGATGTAGCTCTGGACAGTTCTCTGATCTTCAGCCTCACCTCACCAACTTCCTTTCTTGGCTCCCCCACAGTCATGGCAGCTGTAACACTTGTATTTAATAACCTAGACCTATACTGCTTTAGGATCTCCATTTTTCTGAATGAACCCTGAGGGATACTGGGACAAGAAATTGGGAATGCTGGAATGCTGGGGCGTTTTTCCTTTCAGGAGATTTGCTGATTCCTAGGGCTGTGCAGGATGGTAAGCAAAAGACCTCTATGGAAAAAAGCATTTTGAGTGTCAGGGATTGAGCTTCCTTCCACCCACAGCCAACATCAGTGAGTAGAGGGACAGACACATAGATCTGCAGAACAGAACCGAGAACCTAGAAATCACTCTACACAGATATGCCCAACTGATTTTTGGCCAAGGTGCCAAAACCGTCAAATGAGGAAGCATGGCTTCCTCAACATTCATAGGCAAAAATGAACCTTGACCTCAAACCTTACACAAAAATGAACTCAAAATGGATCATAGGCTTAAACGTAAAAAGGTAAAACTAAAATTTCTAGGAATAAAAACACATAAGAGAAAATCTGTAGCATCAAGTACTAAGCAAAGAATCTTAGACTTGACACCAAAGCCTGATCCATAAAAGGCAAGCTTGTTAACATTGAACTTCAGCCCATTTTACATCTTTTTATTTTAATCTCTGCATGACCTTGTTAGCAGAATGAAAGGACAGTCTACAGACTGGGAGAAAATACTTGTAACCACATGTTCAACAAGGAACTAATATCTCAAACACATGAAGAACTCTCAAAATTCAGTAGTCAAAATGCAGTCAGTTTCATTAGAAAATAGGCAAGAAACATAAAGTGCATTTCACCAAAATGTATTCACAGATGGCAAATAAGCACATGAATAAATTATCAACATCATTAATCCATTGAGGAAAGTGCAAATTAAAACCACAGTTAGATATCACCAATCAGAATGACCAAAATAAAAAATATTGGCAACACCAAGTGTTAGTGAGGATTCAGAGAAACCAGATTGTTCATGCATTTCTAGTGGGAATGGAAACTGATGTAGCCAATATGGAAAACAGTGTGGCAGTTTCTTTAGGAACTAAAGATGAAACTACCATATATCCCCAAAATTGCACTTCTAGGTGTTTTTTTTCCAGAGAACTAAAAACTTGTGTTCACAACAAAAATGTACATGGGTGTTCACAGCAGCTTTATTTCTTAATACCGCCAAACTGAAAACATTCTAGATATCTTCCAATGGGTAGAGGGTTAAATGAACCATGGTATATCCACACCATGGGATACTGCTTAGCACCATAAAGGAACACACTATAGGTGCACACAACTTGAAAGAGCCTGCAAGAATTTATGCTGAGTGACAAAGGGCAGTCTCCAAAGGTTACATGCTATATGGCTTCATTGATATAGCATGATAGAAATGACAGTGTTCCTGTGGCGCTCTACGGTAGCTTTGCAAGTTGTTAGCATTGGTGTTACCTAGCTTTGCAAAGTGTTTGGCCATGTGGGCCCTCACTGACTGAATAAAGGGCCCACATGGGCTGTTATTTCTTACAATTCTATTTCAATACAAAATTATCTTAAAACATTTAATGAAAAGCAAGTTAAATAATTACTACATCATTAATTACATTAACATTTAAAAGGCTACAATTAGCAGCCTAGGACTTTCAGAGTAAACAAAAATCTATGTTTTCTGCCTACAAGAGATATGCTTAAAATGTGAACACAGAGGCTGGCATAGTGGCTCATGCCTGTAACCCCAGCACTTTGGGAAGTTGAGGTGGGAGAATCACTTGGGCCCAGGAGTTTGAGACCAGCCTGGGTAACGTGGCTAAATTCCGTGTCTATAAAAAATAGAAAAATTAGCCAGGTATAGTGGTATGCACCTGTGGTCCCAGCTACTCAAGAGGCTGGGGTGGGAACATCACTTGAGCCTGGGGAGGCTGAGGCTGCAGTGAGCCACAATTGTGCCACTGCACTCCAACCTGGGCAAGAAAGTGGGAAGATCTTGTCTGGAAAAGAAAAAAAGAAAACAACTTGACAGAACTTAGGAAATGTAGGCAAATCCATAGTCATGTAGTTGTCGCTAATACCCCTCTCACTATAGCTACCAGATGCTATAGTATGGAGACAAAACTCATTATGGCTATAGACAGAGGTTGCCAGGTTTCTTCTGTGAAGGACCAGATAGTAAATGGTTTCAGTGTCGTAGGCCATCTTGTCTCTGTTGAAACTACCTGGCTCTGTCTTTTTAGGGGCAGAAGCAGCCATTAATAACATGTTATTGCTGCTGTGGTACAACAAAGTGTTGTATACACACTCACTGAGTGGGCTGGAGTTGTCCTGTGGGCTCTGCCTTGCCCACCTCTACTGTCGAAGGTCTGAACATTACCATTAACAACTGGAATAATCAACATATCAGAAGCCAGAAATCACCCAATGCACATTCTTTGAAAGTTGACATGTGATGTTTACAACATTGACTTTTACAAAATGAATGACATAATACGTGCATCAGCAGAGTCAAGGGATTGAAATTATTTAGATTTCTTTCTCTATTACAGTGGAATTAAGCTAGAAATAATGATGAACTAGGAAGCCTCTCAAGTGCATGGCATTAAGCAGAGCATTCCTAGATAATCAGTTACACAAAAGAGAAGCCACAACAGAAATTAGGAAATACTAAGGTCTGAATGATTATGAAGACGGGCCATGTCCAGTGAGTGGAAAGTGGCAAGGAGTGTTTAGAGCAAAATCTATACCATCACAGTGACATCAAAAAGGGTGAAGCATCTGAGCTTTTTCAAGACCTGGAAAAAGAATGGAAAATCCACCCAAATAAATGAGAAAGGAAGAAATATCAAATGGATTGCAGAAATCTTTAAGGTAGAAAAAAAAGGAATATATGAAATCAACAAAGCCAATAGTTGGTTCTTTGGAAATAGTCCCAGTGTTGGTAAAATGTAATAAGAGACTAAAAGAAAGCTAAAATTCACATTCCAGTATCAGACATAAAGAGAGAGTCATCGTCAAACTTTACAAGCCTCATAAAGAAAATACAAGTCTCCTCTAAATAGCCCTCCTGAGCTAAATTTAAGATCTTGATGAACTAAACAAAAATGTGAAAAACACAACCATATCTGACCTACAACAAAACTGTAATGCTGAAGTATCCTGTTAATGAAATGGAATCCTTTATGGAAAACCTACCAACCTAGAAATTACTAGGCCCAGATGGCTTCATTGGCAAATTCTTCAAAATATTTGTGGGAGAAATAGCAGCAGTCTTACACATGCTCTTCCAGATCATCAACAAGGATTAATTGCTTCCTAGTACATTTATGATGGAAGCTTAACCCTAATACCAAATACCAGCAAAGACTATTTAAAAGGGAAATTATAGGCTACCGTTTCATATGACTACGGATGCAAAATACTAACAAAACCAGCCAAATCCTTGATGTATGTAAGCACATGTAATGCCATGCAGTATCTTCAATGGGATTCTGGAAAAGGAAGAGGGCAGTAAGGAAAAATCAATGAAATCTGAATAACATATGGAATTGTATTCGTGAGAATTTATCAGTATTTGTTTAATAGTTGTGAAAAGTGTGCCATAGTAATATAGGCAGTGTGAGAAAAGGGGCCTGGGTATGAGGCATATAGGAACTCTGTACTATCTCTGCAACTTTTCTAACAACCTAAAACTATTTTAAAATAAAAGGTAACACACACACACACACACACACACACACACACACCCCATAACCCCAGTATCTTGTGGATTCAATAACAATTACAATGTGGTTTACAATTTGAAACCCACCAGTTTAATTCACCATATTAACAAAGAAAAGGGCAGAGATGATTGTAGATGCTGAAATGTGTTGATAAAATCCAACACCCTTTCCAAATCTCTGCGGGAAATGTCTACCATCACCACTTTTATTCCCAAAGGAACCGGAGTTCTTAGGTAGTTCAGTTAGGCAACAGGAGGAATTAAGACACATGGTGAGTAGAAAGAAAGAATTTAAACTGCTTACTATTCATCAGAGACAACAAACTTCAAATAACAATTACTTTTAGGAAAGATCCTGAATACAAGATAAGCATTCAAAAATCAGTTTACAAGATCAATTGTCTTTTTGTACATCAAGAAACAAATTGAAAATGAAAATTTCCAAGGAAAGGTGTTCTTTAAAATATCACAAAATAAAGTACCACAAATCCAACTAGATTTGTGCAAGATTCCAACACTGAAACTGCAAAAACACTATTGAAGACTTAAAAGACCATTAAAGACTTAAACACATGGATTTGTACACTATGCTTATGGATCATGAGACCCAACAGAGTAAGGATATCTAGTCTCCAATTCGCCTACAAATTCAAAAGAATTTCAATCAGAGTTTCAGCAGGGGTGTGTTTGTGTTTTGACAAGTTGGTGCCAAATGCTTATTGAAAACATGAAGGGCTAGGAATAGCCAAAGCAGTCTGGGAGAAAATGAGAAAAGCCCAAGGACTTGCGCTCTGAGCTGTAAAGATTAGTCATATAACTTCCTTAATCAAGGCAGTTCAGTGTTGGGTCCTGTGGTCAGGATTGGAAAATACAACACTTGAAGGGAAATAATTCCAAAAAAGCCACATGCGTCTTGTTTCTTGATCTCTGACAAAGTTGACCCTGCAGTGCAGTGGGTAAAGACAATTCTTTGCACTGAGTAGTAGTGGTTATGTTAGATATTTGTACACAATATTCGTGCCATATAAAAGAAGCAGTTTGAGGTGGTTTGTGGATCTCAATATAAATATTAAACCAACAAAGTTTTTAGAGAAAAATATAAAATGCTGTATTTGTGACTTTTAGGAATTAAGAATTCAAAAAATGGAACAAAATAGTGCTAGTCACATAAGAATGAAATTGATACATTTTACCTTTACTTTCACAACTTCTGTTCCTAAGAAGAGGCGTGTGTGTGAAATAGTAAAATTGCAAGCCACAGATGAGGAGAAAGCATTTCAAAACATGTATCTACAAAAGGACTTGTATTCACAATATAAGGAACTTCTTCCTACGAATTGATTAATAAAAAGCTGATCATCCAATAGAAATTTAAACAAGAGACTTAAAGGAAATTTGCCAGAAAATGGTATCTGAATGTGTAACATATATAAGAAAAGTTGTTCAGTGTTACTCTCCTTGAAAGAAATGTAGCTTAAAACCACAACACGATAACACCACAAGAAATGACTCAATGTCCTAAAACGATCATACCAAGTGTTTTCAGGGTTCTGAAGTGTGCACAATCGCTCAGACTATGGATAGGTTCAACCCAGTGTGGAAAACAATTCGATGTTGTCTGCTAACGCTGCATATCAAAGACTCAGATTCAGCACTTCTACTCCTAGGTACGTAGCTAATATTAAAAAAAAAATTTTACAGGCTCACCTCAAGGCAAATACAAGACAAGAATATTCATTGCAGCACTATTTGGAGTAGACAAAAACCAGAAACAACTTTAACGTCCATCAACAATAAATTGTGGTATGTTCACCAATGTAATGCTACATAATTATGCGGGTGAACAGTATACAACAGTGTTGAACAATAGGGATCAATTTCATAAACACAGAGTAGAGCAAAAGAAGCCATACACAAAAGCAGACATAATGTATATACTTTCAACCAAACAGAACTAGCCTATAGGTTTAGAAGCCCACGCATTTCCTGTCTTTGGCCTGAGCTCCTTACAGTAGTGTCTGTGTGGAGGAACAGAGTGGAGAGTCCTGGGGCTCTCGTGCAGCTCTGTGTCTGAAGCTGCTTGCTGAGTACTGGCTGTCAGCACTCTGAAAATCCATCAAGTTGTTGACTTATGGTCAGGCACATTTCTGTAGAATGTTGAACTCCAATAAACTTTTAAAATGGAAAATAACAGACAACAAGTGACTGATTCATATTCATTAGTTCTTTCTGGTGTTATGGAGGAGACAAGACCTAGAGCCATGAATGGATAAATCAATTATGGTAAGTTCCAGAATAAAGTATTTGTGTAAACACTGGATAGACTTCAAGGGGAACGGAAGTAATGGTAAGGGCCAAGGTTATTTAACCTAGGGATTCTTGAAGGAGGTGTTACATGGAGCTTTGGTCAGGTGGCATTGGTCAGCTGAGGCCACTGGACAAGCCCTCTAGTGATGGTTATCAATCACATTAGCTGTGGAACCCTAGTTGGAATGTTGCATCAAGTCTGTGCTGGGGAGGAGGCTGGCACCAAGGGCTAAAGAGCATTTATATGTTGATCCAGGAGATTAAAACACCAGGCTGAGGTTCCCAAGAAAGAGTTTACCCTAGAAGCGTCTTGCCAACTGCAGAAAATTTGGATAAGGACACACTAACATGGGCACCTCTGTTAAAGGTCCATGTGATCTCTGGACCATAAGTGAAACATGATTTCTAGTCTGCATTAAATTTCTAGAGCTCTAGAATTTTTTTTTTTTTTTGAGACAGAGTCTTGCTCTGTCACCCAGGCTGGAGTGCAATGTCATAATTGCACTCACCGCAGCCTCCGTCTCCTGGGCTCAAGGGATTCTTCTGCCTTGGCCTCCCGGGTAGCTGGGACTACAGGTGCATGCCACCATGCCCGACTAATTTTTATATTTTTAGTAGAGACAAGGCTTCACCATGTTGGCCAGGCTAGTCTCAAACTCCTGACCCTGTGATCTGCTCACCTCGGCCTCACAAAGTGCTGGGATTACAGGTGTGAGCCACTGTGCCCAGGCTAGAATTCTTACCACAAAAAATGAACAGGATGTTTCATTGTGTGTAACTACGTGACAAGGTACCATGATATCATTTTGGAAGGGCCAGAGAAACTATCTCCAGAAGATATTCTTGGAGTGATGAGACCTGCTGGTAGACTTGGATATTCTCTCTCAGTCAAGTATTCTAGACAATGTTGTCACAGCTGGGAGTGTAGAATGTGGACGTGGAGCTAGTTATGGTTGAATGTGAGGTGTATGTGCTTCAATATTTACAAGCAGAAAAATGAAATCAATTATTTTCATTGCTGCTTCTTTTTTTAGGCATAAACCCTCGTGAACTACTTGTTTATAAGAACTGTACAAACAACTGCACATTTGTATATCCAGCTGAACAGGTTCCTGAAGCCCCAAGAAAACAGAGCAAAGTGAATAGCTTCTATTGGGTTCGTTGTTGTAGTTCCATGTCTTGCAATGCAGGAGGACCTACTAATCTTGAAAGGGACATGATACCTGATGTAACAATTGAAGAGGAGCTTCCAGAAGGAACTGTGCGGTTGGGGGAGTCAAAACTATTCCTGAGCTTTGCCTCTATCATAGTCAGCAGTATACTGTCATGAGGACCCCTCCTTGGAGAGTCTGACCATCTTCACCCATTCCACAGAGAAATGTTGCTCTCCATTATTCCATTGTAAGCCAGGGACACTTATGCACTGCTCCTATAGGTGGCCCATTTATGGTTTGTTGTAAGAGAAAAATAAAGAAAATTATTGTTTAGTGGAAATGTTCATGAACATTTGTTTGCCTGAATTTACTTGAGTACTCATAGTGGAGTCTCTATTCATATCTGTTTTTTTCTCCCTTGCTCAGGGATCAGTTGCTGTAGCTATCATTGATTTTAGTAGTTTTGCCTTTGGACTTCATACTGAAGTTATGCATGGGTTGCACACTGCAATTATAGCATTGCAATATTTTGGTTTGTCTGTACTTAATTTTACCACTGGGTTTTATACGTTCAGATGTTTTTGTTTTGTGCATGAGTGTTTTCTTTCAGATTGAAGAGCTCCCTTTAGCATTTCTTACAAGACAACTGTGGTGGTGTGAATTCTCTCAGCTTTTGTTTGTTTGGGAGAGACTTTATTTCTCCTTCATATTTGAAGTATAGTTTTGCTGGATACATTAGTTTTGGATGACAGTTGGGGATTTTTTTTTTCTGTTCAACACTTTGAAAATGTCATACCACTCACTTCTGGCATGTAGAGTTTCTCTTAAGAATTCTGTTGCCAGATGACCTGGAGCTCCTTTATATGTCTTATTTTTCTTGCCGCTTTTAGGGTCCTCTCTTTGTCCTTGACCTTTGAGAGTTTGATTATCATATGTGTCAGGGTAGTCTTATTTGGGTCAGATCTCTTTGGTGTTTTCTAACCTTCCTTTACCTGAATATTTATCTTTTCCACAAGTTTTAAAAAGTTTTTGGTTATTATTTTTCAATCAGCTTCCTATCCCTAGCACTTGGTTAACTCCCTCTTGAACATCAGTAATTCTACATTTGGTCTTTCGAGGTAATTTTCTATATCTTACATGTTCTTCATTCATTTTCATTCTTTCTTTTTTCTCCTTTGTCTGTGTACTTTCAAATAGCCTGTCTTCAGGCTCACTGATTCTTACCTCTACTTTATTCATTTTGCTGTTGAGAGTCCATAATTAGTTTTTCCATTTAGCAACTATATCTCTCAGTTCCAAGGTTTCTGTTTGATTTTTAAAATTATTTCAATCACTTTGTTAAATATTTCTGATAAATTTCTGAATTGCCTTTCTTTGTTATCTTGAAGATCACTGAGTTTCCTTAAACTATTTTGAATTCTCGGTCAGAGAATTCACATATTGCTGTCCCTTTAGGGTCAGTTACTGGTTCTTTGCTGTGTTCACTTGGGAAGGTCTTGGTTCCCTGTTTGCTGTTGTTTCTTGTGACTGTATGTCTATGTCCTTGCACAGAATAATTATGTGTTTATTTCACACTTCTCTGTCTGGCTTCTTTATGATTGTTTGTTTGGGTTTTTTAATTTTTATTTATTTATTTATTTTGAGACAGGAACTCACTCTGTCACCCAGGCTAGAGTGTAGTGATGATCATGGCTCACTGCAACTCCACCTCCCAGGCTCAGGTGATCCCCCAACCTCAGTCTCCTGAGTAGTTTAGACCCCTGGCTAATTTTTGTATTTTTTTTGTAGAGATGAGGTTTTGCCATGTTGCCTAAGCTGATTCCAGACTCCTGGGCTCAAGCTCTTTTCCCATCTCGACCCCCTAAAGTGCTGGAATCATAGGTATAAGCCACAACACCAGCCTGGTTTTTATTGGATATGTTTGGTTAGAGATCTTTGTGATTTATGTGTTTCTTTTCTTTTTCTTTTTTCCTGCTAGGTTGCTGCCTCCTTTTCTGCACTACATGGCAACATAAGCCCAACTTTGCCTTGGTTCTAGTTAACAGTAAAGTGCTGCCAGTCCCAAAGAGGGAAGCTCCAAGGGGATATCCTGGTAGTGTGGGAAGGCTGGCCAGGGCTGCATGCCTGGGTCCTGTGGAACTTACTTCCTCCAGCATGGCACTGTGAACAGCCACCCTGATTTGGTGTCTCCTTTGGCTGAGTTACACAGCAGAATTTTCAATTGTGGGGATGGTAGTCCCATTTCCCCTTTTGTCTCTGACTTTCCTCAGAAATATTTTTCCCTTCAGGCACTCCTGATGTTTCCCCTGGGTTGAGGCAGGGGCAGGCCTCCTGCCAGGAAACCCAAAATCGGAAGGAAGCTGGTTGTCTGCCTCCATGTCACTTTCCCCAGTGTAGAAACTATGACTTGGGGGAAAGTGTTCTGCACATTTGGTGCTGAGCAGATTGGGGAGAGGGGAATTGTGGGTATGAATCCCATTTTCTTACCATCTGCTCTGAGTTTTTCTATTTTTCTGTGGCCCAGGAACTATCTCATCCCATATTTGAGTTCTGGGATATTGCTGGTGATAATCTCAGTGCTGTATATTTGATTTTGGTTTTCTTTGAGGTGGGAGGAAAGCCAGCTTGCTTCTATACTGCTATCTTGGAAACTTGGATGTGTATTCCCTTAGGTATATTTCTAGTCATGCAATTGTTGGGTTCTGTGGTAACTCTCTATGTAATTAAGAGACTAGGAGACTGTTTTCCAGAGTGGGTGCACCATTTTACAGTCCCAGCAGCCAAGTTTGAGGGTTCTATCACTTATTATTATCTCATGTTTTTGATTTTAGTCTTTCTGGTAGATGTGAGGTACCACCTTATTGTGAGTTTGATTTGCATTTCCCATATGACTAGTGATATTGAGTATCTTCGCATGTGTCTTTTGGCCATGTGTTTGCCTTCCTTGGTTATCAGAGTACTTTATATATTCATGATACAAGTCCCTGATCAGATAGATGATTAGCAAATACTGTCTTCCATTCTGTGTGTTGTCCTATAACTTTTGAGAGTGTCCTTTGAAGCACAAATGTTTTCAATTTTGGTGGAGTCCAAACTCTCTATCTTTTCTTTTGTTGTTTATATTGTTGGTGCCATGATCTTTGCCAAACCCAAGGTCATTAAGGATTACCTCTATGTTTCCTTCTAAGACTGTTACACTTTTGCTATTATGATTATGTAACTGGGTGTTTTAGGTTCTTGCCCCCCCTGCCCCAGGAATGGGGGAAGAGGCCCTGGAGGTGCAGTGGGCTCGTTCAAGTAAATATCAGACTCAAAGAGTCTTGCAGTAAAGCTATTTATTAGGCACAGAGAGAGAAAAGTAGGGAGAGAGAGAGGAAACTCCCACATTGTCATGGGAGGGGATCCTGAGATGGAGTCCACACAGATATGGAGCAGAGAGACTTTTAATCTAGGAGTTACTCCTGCCCCATTCAAGTCCTCCTCCAGTGAGAGGAGTTCTTCCAAACTTCCTCTGGAGTGATTGATTTTTGACTCTGATGCTAGATTGGTTGTCCGGCCCACAGTCCTCCCATAGATTTTCGCAGGTTTTCTAAACAAAGGGAGCTCACCTTTCCCATGCATGCAAAAGTTAGACAGAGAACTCTAGGCTCCCAGATGGGGATGGTGGATGGAGATATGGTGCTGGGAAGTTCTTGCCTTTGAAATCATGCCCCTTGTGGACGTGGGAAGAGAAGTTAGATCTGGGAAGAGAAGTTAACACACTCCCTCAGTTAGATCTTTGATCAGTTTCAAATTCATTTTCATATATGGTCTAAGGACATAACTTCATTCTTTTCCACATAGTTATAAAGTTTCATTACCATTTGTTGGAAAGACTATTCTGTCCCCAATGGATGGTCTTGGCACCTTTGTAAAAAAGTCAGGTGACCATAGATGTATGGTTTTATTTCTGGACTCACAATTCTGTTCTATTGATCTAGATATCTGTCCTTGTGCTAATATTTCACAGTCTTGATTATTGCTAATTTGTAGTAAATTTTAAAATTGGGAAGTGTGAGTCTTTCTACTTTCTTCTTTTTCAAAACTATTTTGGCATTGCAGATCTCTTGCAATTCCATGTGAATTTTAGAATCAGCTTATCAATGTCTACAAAGAAGAGATTCTTTGGGGATTCTTTGGAGCTATCATAGGGATTATATTGGATCTGCAGATCAATTTGAGGGGTACTGTCATCTCAGCAACATCATGTCTTCTGACTCGTGAACATGGATGGGATGCTTTTTCAGTTATTTAGATCTCTAACTTCCTTCAACAGTGCTCTGTAGTTTTCAGAACATAAGTGTTGAATTTCTTTTGTTAAATGCATTCCTAAGTATTCTATTCCTTTTGGTGAAACCGAAAATGAAATTATTTTCTTAATTTCATTTTTAATTCTTCATTACAAGTAGAGAGAATACAAATGATTTTTGCATATTGATCTTGTACCCCGAAATCTTGTTGAACTACTTTTGTTAGAAATAATACTGTTTTTATTGGGCTTCTTAGGATATTCTAGGTAAAAGATCATGTGAAGTTTGAAAAGAGAGTTTTACTTTTTCTTTTTCCATCTGGCTGACTTCTGTTTATTTTTATTGCTGACTTGTTCTGGCTAGAACCTCTAATACAGTGTTGAATAGTAGTGTTGAGAAGACGCCCTTGCTCCTAATCTAACCTAGGAGGAAAGCAGCTAGCTTTTACAATTCAGTGGGAGGTTAGCTATGAAGTTTCCATGAATATATTTTATGAAGTTGAAGAAGCTTCTTTCTTTTTGAAGTTTGTTTAGTTTTTTAAAATGAAATTTGTGGTAGGTTTTATCAGATGCACTTTCTGCATCTGTTGAGATGAGAATGTGATTTTTGTTGTTTTATTCTACTGATATGGCTTATTACAATCATTAATTTTGGATGTTAAACCAACCTTATCTTCCTGGGAAAAATCCCACATGTCCATGGTGTATACTTCTGTTTATGTATTGCTGGACTCAGTGTGCTGGTATTTTACTAAGGATCTTTGAAGGAAGCTTACTAAGGATTATTTGAAGGATCTTTGAAGGTGGGGTCTGAGAAGGCCCAGAGAATTTGACAGGGCAGAGGAGGTGGAACTGGGACAATGATGCAAGGCACCAGGCGAGGACTCCCACCTTCTGCACAAAGACCCTGTCTTTGTGACATCACAAACACTCCACCCAACCCAAGCCCTGCCATACAGACACTAAGTCCCACTACCTCCATGTTCATAGAGAACACGGAGCCTCCCCACTTCCCCAGAACAGGCACCTGCACCCAATCTCACTCTCTC